TTGCCATCGAAGAAACGGAAGGCAAAAACTAGTGAAGATGTTCTCAAAACAGACGAGGAACCAGGTCCATCTTCCTCAGGATCAACACGTAAAAAGATCTCAAGGAAAACGACAACAAAGAAAAATACATAAACTACTCAGCATTATTATTTTTGGCCCATAATACGTTTTTCTAGTGTATAATCATGTCTTTATAGCTTATAATTCAATGTATTTTGTTCATTACCAATAAATTATATTTTGTCGTATTTTTACTCTTCTTTCTCTACATTTTTAGTACACTTCTAAGCAAGTTAGGATTTTCTGCTTTTCACCACGTGACAAAGCATCTCATCTTCCATCCGAATCAACCAAAAAGTGAAAATTGATTTTTTGACACCTAAGCCCCCTTTCCGTAGACCAGGTCACATATATATATATAAATACATATTTCAGAAAATCAGGCTTCACGTATTAGGTGTATATGTATGTTAATATCTTAGTAAACATTACAGACTCTAAATGACGTTTTTAAATAGGAACACAGTTTTCAACTTCTTTGTAAAAATCAATGAAATACCTAATCAGCGTGAACAACCACATTGTATATATTTTAAGATTAAGATGAAACAATTAAAAATTGGACTTATTGAACTACATCGTCGCTCAGCGCGAAATACCTCGTATACGCCAAACGTAGTACCGCGTATACGATGGTAAATAAATTTTACAAAAGTGCAAAAAACCGATTTTTTCAAAACTGTGGAATGGTATTTTCACTGAACCTACTTGCTATAAGATTATTATTATTAATCTTAACTTAAATTAATAAAGTAAGCAGTAATGGAAAAAGAATAACCAAATCCCTTTTTTATTGTACATACATGACGTGGTATTGGATTCCGCATATACGAGGTATTTATACATATATGTACTATCTAAGTGTGTATTAATTTGAAATAGTCTCTAGCCGACCATGCATATTATGTTTTCTGTATATTAATTATAAAACAAATACATACATATGTAAGTAATATTAATACAATGATTCCAAATATTCTCACTTGGCTGCCACTGCTTCTGCTACTCTCCTCAACCTCGACAGGTGTAGCTGGCCTATGTCTCATAACGAACCTAATTTAAAAGTTTTTTGGAAATACATATTATGCAAAATAAAACCAAAATTGTGTATTTTTTGCTCACTTATCCATAGAATTGAGCCCGTATAAATTAACTTGAAACACCAATTTTGCGCGGAATTTTAATAATTTTTCGCGGCTTTTTAATGACTCTCGTATTATTAAAATGTCATTTCAGGTACATACTATGCAGGTGTGTGCAAAGAACATAGAAATGGTGTAACTGCGGGGCCATTTCAAAAACTTGGCGATTAATTCACCGCGATTTATTAAAGACACGAACCGATAATAGTTGCACCCTCGAACTTTTACATGTTCTTTTGCATATTGCACATATGATTAGATATTATCGGAATAAGTCGAATCTTGAGTTGCCATTTTAGTAGTAATAACTTTAGTTAAATAATCATATTGAGCAGAATAAATGTATTTGTATACGCTATTTTTCAAATATTTATATATTGTATGTATACAAAAATTAGAAACTGCAGTAAAGGTTAAAGATAACCAAAATGGGAAAGACCTTAACACCTTCACAGGCAAGAAAAAAATAACCAAAATTGGTTAAAAGTAACCAAAACGGCAACACTGCTTTCAGCAATAAGTCAAATGGCTTTCAACAACAAGTCAATTTGCAAGCTTGGGCCAGCGTTTGTTGCCAGCAACTGACCCGCTGGCTGCCCACTGGCATTTGTTCAACTACTCAAAAATGCACTTTGTAAACAAACCTTTTGGGTGTTAGCCACATCAAGCGGCTCATCTGGATGAAATGAAAAGGCTGTTAGATGTAATGCAGCAACGTGCCCCCGATGTTGAACATCAGTTCAAAGAAAAGTCAAATGAGTTCGAAATGGCGCAGCTTATCATACGCCAGTTGACGGATAAGGCCAATGTAAACCAAGGCCGCAATCGGATAGAGACCTCGACGCAGACGCAATTTATGTACGAGCAACAGATTAGAGACTTACAAGTAAGTAAGAAGTAGAAGTGCATTTGAAGATGTTTACATTATTATGTTTACGCATTTCTTAAGGCGGATTCACCGTTCCTGCCCGGACACTTTTTGTTAGTAATTTTACGCGTTCCTTTCCCAACTTGTCTCACTGAGAGCGCGACAAAAATGTGCTGAACACTCTTTGTTCGAATCAAATTGATTTTGATTTTCTGTCGGAACGACTTGATGATTCGGGTTGCCGCGTTCTCCTTTATATGCGTTTGCAGCGAATTGCATGTGTTATTTGCCCTCAAAATCGTATGTAGGCAACAATATCATCAGCTGTTTGCTTCAGAACAAAATAAAATGTGCCGAACTGAACGGTGAACCGTACTTCAGCACCCTCTCCGGCAAAAATGTTTTGAGCATTGTGGAAGAATACAAGTGAGATATCTTAGGGTTGACAGATAGTTGACAGGGTTTTCAATATGGCGATGACAGTGTGAACAATATGGCAGCCAATATGGCATACAATACCGAATGGCCCGAAGTAGCAAAAATACGACCCGAATGAAACGCTTCGTGAAAATCCAGGGTTGCGAAGTGGTA